TCAGTAGATGAATGGATAATAAAAATACGGTACATACATAAAATGAATTATTCAGCTGTAAAGAAAGTTGAAATCATAAAATGCTAAGAAGATAGATGGATTTAGAATATACTATTAAATGAGATTACTTAATCTCAGAACAAAACCACATGTTCTTAACATCATCAAATGTAGCCAATAATTTACATATGTATATATATGCAAACAAATATATATGTGAGTACAGAATATCATAAAAAAGAGCAAGAAAGAGCAATTAAGTGATGAGGAACAACTGGGTACAAGTTACGAAAAAAGACACAAAGTCAATTCTTTTTTCTAATTCAGACATCTTGGGTTTGAGGGTGGATATATGCATTAAAATTTTGACGTTAAGAGTATAAAATCCAGTATGCATCTAAATTTTTAGACTGCCTAAACTTTAACTGTGTAAAAGTTCATTGAGGTGGATAGACTGTGGGTCTGGTTAATTTTGATGTCCAAGTTCTTCATATTAAATCTTTTAAAAAAGAATATATTTCATTATCCAGTGGCAAATTTCAACAGAGCAAAAGCCATCATTTCTGTTCAACCAATCTTATGTATTTTATATTATTTATATTATATAAAATAAAATAATATATTATTTTGTAATTGGAGCAGTACTGGCTTTATAAGATAAATTGGAGATCATTTTTTTCCTTTCTAGGATAGTTTGAGGAGCATTGGTATTAGTTCTTTAAAGGCTTGGTAGAATTCAGCCGTGAAATACACTCACTTATCAGGTCACAGCTTTTTCTTTATTGTTGATATAATTAGCTTAGTTACAGTTTTGATTTGTTTTGGTGTGTCTTATGCATTTAAAATTTATTAATCTCTTGGAGATATTTCAAGGTAATTTGAGTGTAATTTTCATAATATTCTGTAACGTTCCACTAGATTTCAGTGTTATTTATTATAGTATTTCCATTTTCTAATTCTTCTGTTTTTCTATTTTTGCTCTTCAGAGATTTAGTTATTTACTTCATTGATATGTTGTGTTGTAGCGTTAATTCTGAATTTTTACCTCCTCTTTATTTCTTTATGTGGATTACAGGTTTGTTTTACTGGTTTTCCAACACCCTGACATGTGTTATGAGATCACAGGGTTGTTTTTCTCTTTCATGTATCCAGAGTATATAGGTATTGATTTTATTTCAGTTTATTCTGGGTCTTTTGTTATTTAGATGGACTTGCTTTTGTAACATTTCTTTCTTACTGCTTGTGAAATATTTTCTTTGTTTATATTGTTGGCATTTTAACTGGTGGCTCATTTTCTGATAAGTTCTGAGTCCTAAATAATTCTTGTCCTTGTGCATCCATATTTTTTTTTTACCTAAATTATCTGCTATAAGTTCACTGAATAGTTTTCTATGTCTTTATCTGTAACTTGGTTCAGTCTTCTGTATGATAGATTGCTAGTTTTGGTGGCTTGAGTCTTGAATGTTGTAACAATTATCCTGATTTTTATTGGTGCTTGTTTATTGATGTCTGTCTGCATTAGTTTTTGAACTTTGTCTTTAATCCGATAGTCTTTTTTTAGCCCGGTGTTGCTTTCCATTGACTTCTCATTTGATTTATAGGTCTGTCCAAGATTTCCATTTGTCTTTTGTTTTGTTTCAAAGAATTTTTTTGTTGCCAGGCAGTGGTGGCGCACGCCTTTAATCCCAGCACTTGGGAGGCAGAGGCAGGTGCATTTCTGAGTTTGAGGCCAGCCTGGTCTACAGAGTGAGTTCCAGGACAGCCAGGGTTACACAGAGAAACCCTGTCTCGAAAAACCAAAAAAAAAAAAATCTTTTTGTTAACATTCTCATGAATTATCAGGTGACTTTTTTTTTTTCTGTTTCTTTTAATTCTCTTTAAGGTCATTGATGAATCTTACTTTATGTGTACCCTCCAAATGCCTAGACCTCACAATGTAAATGTGATATGATCCCTTTTCCTCTCCCATGTACTAGGATGATAGGTGTAAGGCATTATGAGGTACATTGAGCATTTTAAAAATTAGTATTGCCGGGCGGTGGTGGCGCACGCCTTTAATCCCAGCACTTGGGAGGCAGAGGCAGGCGGATTTCTGAGTTCGAGAGTTCGAGGCTAGCCTGGTCTACAGAGTGAGTTCCAGGACAGCCAGGGCTACACAGAGAAACCCTGTCTCGAAAAACCAAAAAAAAAAAAAAAAAATAGTATTGAATCTTTGTTTAGCACTTCAATTACTGGATTTAGGTATTGAAAAAAATTGAGGAGGGTCCCATTGCATTATATACGTTTGTATTTCTTGGTTATTGTGGAACTAGCTCTTTTGATGAGGCTGGCCTCAAACTCTGCCTCTGCCTCCCAAATGCTGGAATTAAAGGCATGTGCCACTACTAACCTGGCAATTCATGTTCTTTATGAAACAACCAAAAAATAAAAAATTACAGCCCCCTCCCCCAATAAAAAACCTCTTCCCTGAAGGGTGGTTGTTATACCCAGGATATACCATTTAAGAAAACAGATTTTTTTTCCCCCTTTCCTAGCAGATAGCAGTTGCAAAATAGATTCCTGTTTGGAGGTTGTTCAAGTCTTTTTCTCATGCTGAGAATTTGTCTGGTTTGAACCTATGCAGATCTTGTGCATTTTGTCAGTCTCATTTATTAAAAAGTATGTTGCCAAAAAAAAAAAAAACATTAAGAACAAAACCACAAAGAATCAGAGATAGTTCTTCCTGCCCATTAATATTGGAATCTTCCAGTTCTGAGGGGAGGATAGGACTTCTGGGATAAAGTATCCTTTATTTCAGTTGGTATGTGGGCCAAGGGCTAGGTTTGTCAAGGGTAATGTTATCTGTGGCAAAACTTCATTTACTCTTAAAACTTGCCGTTTCGGGGCATTGTTAGCTGGTGGGCTGCCAGGATCCTACTTAGCTACAGAGATGCATTCTTGGTGATGACCCCCATTTGCCTCTGAGTGGAAGAAACATTGAGAGTACTGCTCCTTCACTTGAAAGCATGAATAGAGACAACTAGGTGTTTTGCCTGTATATCTGAGCACTGTCAGATCTTACCCAGCAGTAAACTAAACTACTCTTTGAGAGAAAGGAAGCTTCTTTAACACTGACCAATCCTCTGGGCTTAGCAGCAAAACATAAACTTGTGTCTTTGAAGGCCAAGAAATGGGTAGTTTGTGGGCTTTTGCTCTCCGTGGTAACATATAGGTGATGAGACACACTCCTCATTTAACATTGTCCATTTTATTACCAGTGTTATTGATACTATAGTGGATGATACTGTAACTGAGCAGCTGACATAACAATGCCTTATCTAGTGTGTAATTTTTAATAGATATTATACAAATATGAGCTAATACATAAAAATTACAGCCCCCTCCATGTATATCTTAGTTAAGTGTTATATACATTTAGAGTCATCATCCAGTCCTCCAATAGTTTTTCACTAAAGTGTCTTTTCACATGTGTTCGTTTCTGCCCAGAGTAACCCATGCTGTGTACCACCCTGAACTTCACATATCTGTTTTTTACATACAACTAGTCGTATTTAAATTCATCTTTATCTTTGTATATATTTACATTTGCATTTACCACCAAAATCCCATTACATCTGTGTTGCAAATAATTGCACAAACATATATGACTGGCATGTTGTAACTGCTTCTTATGTGTAAGTGGAGCTTATGAAGGTATGTAATACACAAGTATGAGTATTTCTTTACATCTGTACTTAACGTCTCTTGTTTGTTTAGCTGTATGTTCTATAAAATGCTGTGTTAGATACATGTCTTTGCATTTTGTTTTTATAGCTTTGCTTCTATGGTATTTGTTTCAACTTAACTTTAAACCCATTTTTCCTTAGTGACTGCATACCAATATGTAATGTGGTTTGTGATACAATACATTCAATTGAGTTACTAACCAAATTATTTTTATTTCTGTTCTCAAGTACAGTATTGCCATAAAAACATGGTACATGCAACCTCAGTTATTCATAAGAATTATATTCCTTTGGAAAGTTAAATTTGGCAAAAAGGTATAAATAACAATATTCTAGTTTTCTGGAAAAAAGTGGCCTTATTGTTAGGAAATTTAAGGAATATTACAATTACTTTGTTTTCTTTTTTTATGCAACCACAGTGATAAAAAAATCAGTCCTAATAAATTTGTCAATAAGTGTAAAATAAAATCTTAGTGTTGAATAAGCAAGTGATACCATTTGCTTTTTTATTTCTATTTATTGTTATGTATAGTAATCTTTTTAAAAGTAGGATGTAGATTATCTTTGTAGCCTTCATCAACCATTTTTTACCATATGAAAAGCTGAGTACAAGAAAAGACCAACTTGAAAGTGAAACAACTTTAAAGTATCATGGCTGAGGCTTCTTTTTCAAGTTTCAGTAGACTATTAAGTTATTCTGTTATTAGATCCTTGATTAGGAATATATTTATATTTAGTTTCACATGAAAATCTCACTTTTTGGGCTTGAAATATTTGGGTTCAGTTTTTCCCCTCTCCCATGTTATCTTGCTTGTAGTTTTTTGCAATAAAACATTTTTAATTTTCCAGATTTGCTAACTGTGTTCTTATAGGGGACCTATTTAGAACCTTGTCCAAGTACTTGTGGGATTTTTGGAGGTGGGGTTTCTTTCGAATTAGACCCCTGTATTATACCTATATTTTGTTTGTATATTTTATCCACTGGAGAAGATTGATATTGCTGGAGGATTACTTTGTGCAAAGGGTAAAATGTTGCTGTTCTTCTGAGAGCAGTCATGACATTCCTAATATCTTAATTGATCTCTTCTACCTTTGAATTATTTTTAAATGTTCTCTTTTCCAATTCCTTTTCTGCTTCTGTTGACAAATTATTCTGTGTTATTTGAACACTTAAAATAGTCATTTTATACTCAAATTTGGTGTTTAGTATGCTTGCTACCACACAGATATTCAGTGCTGAATAATTTACATGTCAATAATGTTTTTTTCCTTTAGAAATCAATGTGGACAGAACATAAATCACCTGATGGAAGGACTTATTATTACAATACTGAAACAAAACAGTCTACCTGGGAAAAGCCAGATGATCTTAAAACACCTGCTGAGGTAAACGTTTGAAGACTGGGAATCAGAACTGTTAAATAGCTTGGGTATATTCCTTAGAATTTTATATTAAGCTGCAAAGAGCAGTTCTTCTGTGTCTCTAATTAGTTAAGACACTGGGTGGAGAGGGTATAGTTAGAATAATAAGCAAGAATAATACAATTTGTTTTCCTATATGGACATACTTTGTTTATTATCATCCTCTGTTCAAAGGTATCTTCAAGAATAAATTGAAGAGGAAAGCAGTTTTCTTTAATATAGTACGACCTGTATGATTTTAAAAGACGTGTTAACAGTACCAGTTAACCATGGAGTTATTGATTATTCAGTTATTGATTATGGAGTTATTCATTATTTGATATAATGAAATTAAATAACCTATAAAATACTGTCAAATAGAATATTTTTTCTTTGTCAAGGTGCCTCTGAAAGGGTATTATTTTGTGTTACATACTTTAACATTCAAAATAGAAAAATATGATAAAATTAAGATTGAAGCAGTAAATTAAGCAATATTATATGTTTTAATAGTCATGCTCAGAAAGAGGTGGTCTTTTTCACTGAAGAATGTTTTACCTAGCCAGTGGTATTTCATTTTTATTTCCCTTAACAACTTAACACAGTAAATAAATGTGTTTTCCACACACTGTATTTCCCCTGTAGTCTAATATGTTTAAGTGTTTGAGAAGGAAGGTTGATAGATAACATTTATTTCTCATTCATATACATACACACTCAGGGTTATAACAGCTCAATTGACTATGAAACTAAAAACATTAGGATGGATGAGTCAGATTCTACTTTTCCCCAAACTTTCTATTTGTCTTATTTGTATTAATATATGAACACTCTATTCAGTCATTATGGCTGGTGGTTTTTACCTATGGTGAATGTAAGAGAAGTACACACAGTTGAAATTCAGGTAGATACCTGACTTTGAGGAAGCATTTTTGCACTTTCTAAGCATATGATCTTTGACAAATTATTTTCTCTTCAATAGTTAAATGATATATTCAATAGTCGACAACTTCCATCTTGCTATGAATGTATGTAGAGTTACATAAGTGTCTAGTGAAAAAAAGTGCGGATGGTCACCAATGCTGAGTAGTGTGTTCCTATTTGCTGAAAGTTTTTCCCCTTTTTTAGCAACTACTGTCTAAATGCCCATGGAAAGAGTACAAATCTGATTCTGGAAAGCCTTATTACTATAATTCTCAAACAAAAGAGTCCCGCTGGGCCAAACCTAAGGAACTTGAAGATCTTGAAGGTAAGATGGGAAAACAATTCTACTGGGAAGTTGTGTATGTACCAGTCACCTGGAAACAGTCCTCCCTGAATAGGATTATTCAAACTAAGGCCTTATTCTTTTTTTAAAAAAAGTTAAATTGTGTGCACATTGTAAATGATGTAACATTTTTGTTGGCTCTTATTTTCTTGTTGCTCTAGATCTCAGTTCTATAGATTTTAAATAGATTTTATTTGGTTTGATTCCATTGAAACTAGGATACCAGAATACCATTGTTGCTGGAGGTCTTATTACAAAATCAAACCTGCATGGTGAGCTGCTTTGATAATTCATTTTCTGTTATATTTAACATTTAGAGTATGTCACTAATCTTCACTAACCATGAATGGATAAATCTGCAGTGAAAGATATTAATTCAAACAATTACTTCTGAATAAGAGTTATATTATAAATGAGCTTAAAGTTTTTAAAATTGTGATTTGGAATTTTAAATAAACATGAATGTTGAACAAGGTCACATACAAACTTCCAGTATCCCTCAGAATGTTGGTGCATACACAGGACACGTGACTAAGCTTAGTCATGATAATAGGTAGTAGTTGATCTTGAGTCAGTTATTTTATTTATATATTCTCAGATTTCGCTTAATACTGATTTTTTTTTATTGTCATGAAAAATAGTATCCTAGCCGGGCAGTGGTGGCGCATGCCTTTAATCCCAGCACTTGGGAGTCAGAGGCAGGTGGATTTCTGAGTTTGAGGCCAGCCTGGTCTACAGAGTGAGTTCCAGGACAGCCAGGGCTACACAGAGAAACCCTGTCTCAACCCCCCCCCCCCAATATCCATGTTTTTTCTGAAAGTTAAGTTAAATAAATGAATATATAAATTATATATTTCATATATTTTATGGAAAGCTTAGTTACTCAGTACCATTAAAAGTTTAGGAACGAACACTCTGTGATGTGATTAAGAATTGAGTTATTTTGCTCGCCTTAAAATATAATCCTTATTAAATTGATCTAGATCAGCTAGGTAAAAGATTATAGGGAAGTTACTTTAGATCATATTAATTATGATTATCTCTTATGTGGATTTTTTTATCTTAAAATAGATTTTCAGAAATATTTTACTTTAAGAAGTGATAAGTTTTAAAATACATTCCTAGACTTCCGCTGATATCATTGCTTACTTGGAGCACCTCATTCTCTAGTGATACAGAATTAAAGATAGGTGTCATATCAACAAATTTAAAATTTACCGGAGCCTAGAATGCAAAGAAATATTAAGTGTTCAAGTCTTCAAAGTTCTATCTAAATTGTCTGAGCATGAGCTTATAATAATTTTACCAATAGAATCCCAAATTGCTCATCTACAGAGTATCAAGCTCATTTCTGATATGACTACAAATGGTTGGTTTGTATAGCTGCTTATCTGCTTGTCAGTGCTAGTATGAAAAGTGGGCCAGAAATCTCATGAGTTTAATATCAATTTAAATTTAGTGTCTTAAAATTTCTTATTATTTTGGTCATTTAAAAAAAATAGTCTTATCCCTAGAGACAATACTATTGCATTCCTAAATTATGAATATTTTCAAAGTGTGATTTACGTGGCCAGTAGCTTTTTCCATCAGCATTGGAAAAGATTGCTCAATAATCACAATCGCTGTTGTTAAGTTTCATTGTAGAGTTGCAGTTTTGAACCTAGAACCTTTTTAAAGCAAGTTTTAAATTGTTAGATGATAAATTAAATTGGATGAAATTATGGTACTTTCATCTCCTTTTAGAGTTTGTTTTCAGTGGTTATATTTAAAAACTAGTTGACAACTTTTCTGTTTTCTTTAATAGCCATGATCAAAGCTGAAGAAAGCAGGTAAGCAATTTTAAACTCAGTATGGTTTACAGATTTGGCCATTTCTATAGCATTCATGTTTTATTTGTCTACTTTTAAAAGGCTATGAATGCTATTTAATAGGATTAGGATAATAGTTTGATGTCTTTGGAAGGTTTTATGGGGTGGGGGTAGGGCATTAAAAAGGTTTGCTTTGCTAGACAAGTACTTTAATATGGAATGCATTGTTTGTGAATTAAGAAGTTTCTCATTTTGGGAATGAGTGAACTAACTACATATCTCCTTTATAAAACTAAATTCCTTTTTTTGTCGTCATGAGGAATAGACTTACAGGTTTGCATATGTTGGCAAAGAACTACGGAGCAATATACCCCCAGCCTACAAAGTTTCCCTTTAATTGTTGAAATGTAGATTTTATAGGTCTTATGAGTTTATATATATATATCAAATATGTTATTCAAAGTAACAGATTAAGGTTTTATTGAAGTAATTGTACATTAGGAAATATAAGCATTTATATCAATGCCTATTTCATGTTAGTGTCCAGGTTTGCTGAAAGCAAAATAATGATAGAAGTTGGAAGTCGTAATAGTGCACAGTGGGAAGGATATAGTACTGCCTGAGCCTCATGAATCTGAGCCCAGCCTAGGCAGTATGGCTAGATATTCTCTAAAACAAACATACAATTAGTATAGTCTTATTCTGTGGTCTTTTGGAGTGGCTTTCTAGTTTACTGTCAATGATTTGTTTAACCCTTTGTTCCATTAGTGTTATGACTTTATAATTGACTTTATTTAGCATTACTGTTATAGTATTTAAATGACCAGTTCTCTCTCTCTCTCTCTCTCTCTCTCTCTCTCTCTCTCTCTCTCTCTCCCTCTCCTCCCTTTCTATTCCTCTTATTCCCTCACCTCTCTCTTTTAATGTATAGCAAGCAAGAAGAATGTACTACAACATCAACAGCCCCAGTTCCTACAACAGAAATTCCTACCACCATGAGCACCATGGCTGCTGCAGAAGCAGCAGCTGCTGTTGTTGCAGCTGCTGCAGCTGCTGCAGCAGCAGCTAATGCCAATACTTCCACCACACCTACTAATGCTGTGGGAAGTGTTCCAGTTGCTCCTGAACCTGAAGTTGCTTCCATTGTTGCTACTGCTGTAGATAATGAAAATACAGTAACTGTATCAACTGAGGAGCAAGCACAGCTTGCTAATACCACAGCTATTCAAGATCTAAGTGGTGATATATCCAGTAACACTGGAGAGGAACCATCCAAACAAGAAACTGTAACCGAGTAAGTTTAGTAACTCAGACTTCTGCAAATCAATACCTGACTCAAAATATAAGAACTTGTTAATTTAGGCAATGACTATTAAATGCTTAAGTAAAAACATAATGTTTTTTTCTAATGTTGATCCATTTCAAAAAGGTGAATTTCAGTGGTGTCGTGCCACCCGTCATCTGTTCAAAGTTTAATCTTACTTTGATTAGCACTGAGTATAGGGTGAGGCACAAATTTAAAAGAATACATTCTATATCTATCAATGTACTATATGAAATCAAAATCAAGGCAAAAAGGAAAAAATCAGCAGTTTATAAACTTGGAGTATTTTAAATAAAGGCTTGGTGTCATGCCCTGGTTTATTTTTGGTAAGGGGTTGTTTGGTTTTCCTTGTTTTATGTGCTCAGTACAGCACTACCAAGAAGTACTGTAGATTGCTGTTAAATGTAGAAATAAATTTTGGAAGATAAAAAGCTCTGCCAAATAGAGTAGAATTAAACATTTTATTTTAGGGGGTTATTGGTGGTGTTTTATTTTCAGCTTATTGTAAATAAATTGAAAAATATGAACAGCTCTTCCCAAAAATGCCTCAGATGAGAGAAGACACTTTATATAGGAATCACAAATAAGGAAGTCACTTACAATTACAAAACTTACGATTGAATTTTTCTACCATATGATGCAAGGTATAAATGGAAGACTAACCAAACACTATTATCCAGTTACCGTTAGTCACACCACCTCCATCTCTCCACTCCTTACTATAAATGTTTCTTTTCTTCTCTCATACTAATTTTACAAATAACTGTATAGTGTCTTAATATTGAGATATTTAAAAAAGAAATGAGATGGTATGTTTGGAGACAATTAAGAATAAAAGTCATATTCTCTTTTGCTCTTCTGACCTTGGCTATACGTATATTTAAGTATATATATTTAAGCATTTTGTGTGTGTGCATATCCACACATGTATATGTATATATATATGTGTGTGTGTGTGTGTATGTATGTATGTATATATATCATACATTTTCCTTTTTTTTTTTATTTATGTATTTAAGTTGCTGTCTTCAGACATACCAGAAGAGGGCATCAGATCACATTGCAGATGGTTGTCAGCTACCATGTGGTTCCTGGGAATTGAGCTCAGAACCTCTGGAAGAGCAAGCCAGTCCTCTTAACTGCTGAGCTCTGTCTCCAGCCCCTATATCATATATTTTCTGCATACATAAATGTCCTTCATCATGTCAAGTGATGACATCTTATCATATAAGCTTTTGAGTTATCATTCTCCTACATGTTATGCTTGAACTTTTTGAATACTAAAATACTGAGATGCTCAAAATATTTTATGCAACTTGTTATTATAATTACATGTAATTTGTGCATATCCTCATATATATATATATTTCTATTATTTTTAGTATATAATACAGTGTCGTTTACACGGTATGATTACTTCAAGAATAACGAGAAATTCCTGTATTCATCACAATTACATATTTTTTTTAATCTTGCTGCTACATTCATTTATATGAATGTGGAAGGCCAAGAGTAATTTATTTTTCATAATTTTAACAAGTATTCTTTCTTGGCAGCATTTCAATATTAGTTCATGAGTCCTAATTTCTTAATAATTGTAATTACCTTGTATGTAAGGACAGGTCAAGAATGTACATTTGCATATATTACATTCTTATGTTGGTAGCTGTTGCAGTGTCAAGTCCATCATTTTTATGCTAGACTATAAAGTTTTTCAATTTAGTGTGGAATCCCAAACAAGGAATTGATAATTCTGCGTTAACTGAATTCTTTTTGAAATCACTATTCAGCCGTATTTTTTACAGTATTCCAAATAATACTTGTTTGGAGTTCTGGGATACAGAGTTACTTGGTGCTTGTGCCAGAGTATAGTATCAGCCAAAAACAGCATAAGAAAGAGTAAACTAGCCTTGTTGTAGTCTATTAATTCTACGTTTTCAAAATTAACTGAGCTGGATTTTGCGAGTTGATGACTTTATTGCTCTCTACATTCTTTGTAGTTTTTATATACACATAAAAAATTGCCAACGATTAAATATGACACATGAATAAATATGGCCATTTATTAAGGTGTAAACTAGTGATGGATATCAGCTTACTATAGTTCCCGTGTTATCTTTCTTCTTTACATATGGTCTGGTAACTGATGTTACAGAAATTCTGTAACTTTATGTCCTTGGCCTCAGACAGTTGTATTTTTAGGATTCATGTAAGAAACTTTCTTCTGAAATTTGTCAAGATTTAGGTCAACTTCAAACAGCTAAATGATAAGGAGATTTTCTCAGCAGAAAATAGTTACTAAAATTATGAATAGCATGTTTAAATTTCTGTCTCTCTAGTTTTACTCCTAAAAAAGAAGAGGAAGAGAGCCAACCAGCAAAAAAAACATATACTTGGAATACAAAGGAGGAGGCAAAGCAAGCATTTAAAGAATTATTGAAAGAAAAGGTATTATAGATTTTTTAAGTAACATGTAATAATTTCCTAATAAATGTTCACTTTGGTGCCTTTATTTAAAATACTAATCTCTTGAACTGTTGTAACTGAAAGCAAACTAAATTTGTTGTGTTTTAATTGAAGAACGCTTTTGTGAAACTTAACAAGGTATTAATTTCACAAGAATATTTTTGCCTTGATGTATTAAGATTTTTTTCAAAAAACTTAAATCATTATCATTTTGTTGATGGACTAATACAGAAAAATATTCTTTCAATTTCAGTGTGAATTTTTTTCTTCACAAAATTGCTTCATTAAAAGTGGCTTTAGAGGTTAAAAAAATCTGCAAAAGGAGGTGCTTGATATTTGCAGTGAACATTATACTTGCCTTCCCGTGATACTACTACTGTCTGTGTTCTTGTATGAAATACTAATTTTTCCTTTAAATAATTTTCAGCGAGTACCCTCCAATGCTTCATGGGAGCAAGCTATGAAAATGATCATAAATGATCCTCGGTACAGGTAATACAATGATTTATAAATTTACTTTTTACATTAATCTTAGGGTATTTTAAATTGTATAAAACAGTATAACTACGTAAAGAGTTGTTATTCATAGCTTTGTAGTTGGCATAAATAGAAGTATTTTATTTATGCTACAGCCAAAAACCCAAAAGACTTGTCCTACAATCTGAGCACCGTGCTACACATGAAATTAGAATCATTTTAAAACTAGAAATTGCTTTTTAGAATTGTTTAATATCTTCAATAAATTACACAAATCTTCTTAAATATGTGCATGAAACTTTTTTCCAAAGCATTAACATTTGCTTCTCCAGCCTTTATGCTTATTCTTGTATGATTTTTTTTTATTATTATTATTTAGTGCTTTAGCAAAGCTGAGTGAGAAAAAGCAGGCCTTTAATGCCTATAAAGTACAGACAGAAAAAGAGGAAAAAGAAGAAGCAAGATCAAAATACAAAGAAGCTAAGGAATCTTTTCAGCGTTTTCTTGAAAATCATGAAAAAATGACTTCCACAACCAGATACAAGTAAGGTTTCTAATGATGCGGAAAGTGATTCCCCTGTTGTTTGTGTCCTACATATTGCCAACTTGTCCAAAATAGATGGTAGTGAACACAGCTGTGTAAGTGAGGGTGTGGCAGTTCTATAAGGGACCTCAAAAAAGCCAGTAATTTTGCATATAGGTCCACTTAAGGTATTAATTAGGGAATAAACATACCATGTTACGTGTTGTCTATTTTAAAGTCTGCAGAAGGTGCCTTAATGTAAGAGAAAATTGAGGATTTTCTGTTGATATTTAATTGACTGCCATGGAATTTTCCTGAGTAATGATTTTCAACTTACAGTGGAAAGAGTATTCATTGACTACCTTTCAAAAAATGATCTAAAATTGTACTGATGCATTAAGGAAGTAACATTTGATTTCATAATCACTAGAAAAGCTGAGCAAATGTTTGGGGAGATGGAAGTTTGGAATGCAATATCAGAGCGGGATCGTCTTGAAATCTATGAGGATGTTTTGTTCTTCCTTTCCAAGAAAGAAAAGGTACATTTAAAATTATCAGTATTTAAATATTCTGAAGAGTTTTACTTTGAGTAAAATTATAACACAATTTCTTTACTTAATTTGTGTAGTATATGCTATACATCATATTTATTCATTGGAAGCTATGTTCAAGATAAAATGAGTTAATACAATCTTCTTTCCCTCTTTTCAAAGATAGTAATTATTGTTTAAATCATAGTTAGTAGTGATTTATCCAAATATTTATCACTGTTTTCCATCCATTCTTAAAATTGTTTTGCATCCATTCTTAAAAGAAACATGAATGATAGTTCAGGTATTACTAAAACTTTAAGCATAGTTGATTGACATTGAAGACTTTGTTATTTACATGCTATATTTTGTAGCCTTCATAAAACGTATCTGTACTGCATACTGGTAAGGCCCTGAGTTTATAGAACAAGGACACAAAAACAAATAGTTTTTAGATTCTGACTTCAAAGACAAATGGAAAAACTAACTGTAAGGACTCTGTCACAAACAACACTAACAAAATCAAAGGTGTTGATACTAAAGGCATACCATTTGAAACTTCTCAGAATATAAAGGCATCTTAAGTAATTGCAATGGATATACTTTGTTTGAATGTGAAAAGTATTCAAACATTTGTTGTAGGAACAAGCAAAGCAGTTACGGAAGAGAAACTGGGAAGCCTTAAAAAACATACTTGACAATATGGCTAATGTTACATACTCTACCACTTGGTCTGAAGCCCAGCAGTATCTGATGGATAATCCAACATTCGCAGAGGATGAAGAGTTACAGAGTAAGAACAGTGACAAATAGTGCCCTCCAGTCACAAAGAGTTATTGTCAATTTTTGTACGAAATCAGAATTATTCTGAGTTTTTATTCGGTCACTAACTCAATTTTACCCAATGATTTGTCCATCTCAGGGTTAGGGAAAGCTTTATTTTCAAATGGGTTTCTTCTAATTGAATTTTAAATTTAGATTTAGGGAAAAAAATACTTTAGGAGAGATCTAAGCTACCTTTTACAGATAATTCTTGAAATATGTAATAAGTCAATCATTTGTAGATCATTGGTGTTTTCTAACACAGCAAGGCAGCTGCACTTAAAAACTCACAGTGACTAAGACAGCATGCACAATACTTACTTTCAGCATGCAAATGGGAGTTGACCATGAGGTCTCACCCTTCGGTATAGAGATATCAGCAGCTGATAGCTGCTGGGGAGTGAGAGGCTGTTCTCTTCTAAGAGAGTGGCTCCTGATAACTCTACCATATCCATGGAAGGCCATATAGCCAAGAATATTTGGGCATGACAAATTGGTCTTGATGGATTTAAAGTAAGCAAGAAAAAGTGGTGACAGCAAAGTTAGGTAGATGATTGGGGGGAGGTCTGTGAAGAGTTATGGGGGAGGTGATGACTAGGACCAAATGCATAGAGAACTCATGAACTAGAATGTTCTAAACATAAAGTAGTATTCTTTTAAGCATGACATTGCTTCTGTTAGCTAGTCTATTTGTACCATGTGCATGTCCTCCATTTATTCTCTGTAGTATTTAAAGTCATTACTTGTGTCATTATAAAATTATGTTTGAATTCAAATACAAGTAGTTTTTTTTTAATACTGAATTGGAAATTTGTAAAGTTTAATGCAGATAAACTGCTTTCTTTGTCAATATTTCAAATTTGTTTTTTTATTGGAAAAATACTATAGACATGGATAAGGAAGACGCATTAATATGCTTTGAGGAACACATCCGGGCTTTAGAAAAGGAAGAAGAAGAAGAAAAACAGAAGACTTTGTTGAGAGAAAGGAGGAGGCAGCGTAAAAATAGGGAATCTTTTCAGGTAATAAAAAGATGCCTTTCTGGCTTAGTTCTATAATATAGTCATTGAATGACAAGAAGGATCAAAACAGTTCTGAGTTACTTGTTTCCAGTTCATTACTACACTTTGTTGATGACTAGTATGTTGAACTCTTTAATTTTTATAATTTAGTTTTTGTTCATGGACATTTGAGGCAAAGGAATATAGTGGGGTGCTGCAAGCATTATTTAACTTGACCATACGGTTTTAGCTGAGCATCATAGTATATGGGCTAGATGGAAAGGAGGAGAGTGATGAGTGCTTTGTAGCAGTTAGTATTTAGTTCCCAAAGGGTGTGCTGTACAGTTTAGGCATGGAACATAATTAATCCTTTACATCAGAGAGAACATAAACTATGTTCTGTAGTCAGTAGCTCCTTTTTTCTTTTTTTCTGGGGAGGGGGTTCGAAACGGGGTTTCTCTGTATCTCTCTGGCTGTCCTGTAGACCAGGCTAGCCCGGAACTCAGAAATCCGCCTGCCTCTGCCTCCCAAATGCTGGGATTAAAGGCATGCGCAACCACTGCCCAGCCAGTAGCTCCTTTTTTACTAATTGTGGTATTCTTCCCATTTGAAAGAAATGAATTTTTGCTGTTTAAATTTTTATGGGTTTTCTTTGTAATCGAGTCCCAGGTGACCCAGGTTGTCCTCAGACTTGCTGTGTAGCCCAGACCACTTTTGTTCTCTTAATCATTTTGTTTTCACCTTTCAAAGGCAGGGATTACAGACAGGTGCCACAATGCCTGGCTAAGATATTTTAACTGTATAACCTGTTTTGAAGCTGTTTCTTAGAATATCATGTTTGTTGTATATATTCAGATAAATAAGGAAACCAACTTGGTGAGATACTACTAAGTATGGATCTTGAACTTAAAGTATACAGTCTTGGTTACAAGCAGTCTTTAGTCTTGTATTAAACTCTGTACTAGGGTGCCAGCAAGGTTGCAATGGCTTATATGAGCTTGTTACTTGGCATTAATAGTCTGTTTGATCTATTGCTATCCTTTAGGGAAGTAGTTCTTAAAATTTCATTTGTGTTAGACTCATGTAAAAGAAGACTTTTTAAAAAACAGTTATCCCTCCCATGTCAGTGGTTCCTAACTATTGCTATCACAGCTGTTAAATAGTAATAGCTAGCTATAAAATAAGCTATCCCTAGTTTTAAGATAATCAACTATGTGACAAGAAAGAAAGGCTTTTTAGGAGAGCTATTAGACTTTTACAACTTGTAAGCTTCAAGGCCTTTTTAAGATTTAAAGTTTGCAATAGTTTAAATTTTAAATAGACATAAAAATAAAAATCTGGGTCATAGAGAGTAATACAGTATGATACAGAGTACCAAATGCTATGACTTCAGGCCAAGAGATTCTAGTTAAAGGCCGTATGGGCCTTTAGCTAAGTGTAAAATGTGGTTTTAAATCAGATTGAAAGTGGTTATTAAAACACTACATTGGTACTCCTTAAGATATATATATAGCTCAGTAATTTTTCAGTCCTATTTCACCTTTCAAAGATTTGTTTAGAACTGTAATAAAATGAATTAAGAGAAACTGTCATTTCTAAAATTAATCATGAGTGGAAAGAACCTGTTCAATAATGTGGTTTAGTAATTACAATGTTTTTGTTTTGATTTGATTTGATCTGTCAGTAAACACTTACATAATAAGTTTGCATCTCTGCTAGAAACCCGGTGAACTTTTTTTTTAAATCTTAAATTCTGTTTTTGAATTCTTGTCAACTGTAATAGAAAGATTTGAGACAAATCTTTAAGTGGAACAAAGGAAAAATGTGTCACAGAGGGGAAAGTGTTATAAGACAAAAGTAGTGGTCCTCTGAGAATGAACCCTAGATGCACAGAATCACCATTACCTGGGAAGTTATAAAATGTAAATTACTAAACCCTTAAACTTACTAAATAAGATTCTGGGGTGGAGCCTAATGTTGATTTTTATCATCCATCAGAATATTGACAAAACCTACAAAAATAGCAAATACTCAATTTTTATAGTGTGCAGTCTTAAAAGATATTGTGAAGTGTGTGACTGAAAATATTTCCTAATCACTAGCATAATAAAGTTAAAAGATTGACAAATCGTTGGAAGTTTCTATTAGACTTTAGATATTTTAGTAAGGAAAACCTCAGGATTTTTTTTTTTTTTTAGACTTTTCGAGATGAATGTGTGGTGGTAGCACCTACATTTAATCCTTGCACTCTGTAGATAGAAACAGGTAGATCTCTGAGTGTTCACAGCTAGCCTGGTCTGTTTTCAAGATGCAGGACAGACAAGGGTACATAATGAGATCCTAACTCAAAAAGAAAAAAGGAAAAGAGTGGTTTTTGGTTAAGAGAAAAAGAGTCAAGGGAGAAAATGAAGGAACAATTTAACGATCAGGGATATCTCTCAAAATCTATGAAGTTCATAATTCAAGCACACATATGAATAGCAACATGAAGAACAGTGTTGGAGGGAAAAAAAAGGGAATGAATAAGGAAAGATAATGCTGAGTTGAATCTGAGGTAGAGATCTTCAGCCAAGGAAAATTTTATTGGTGATTACTATTCAAAGGAAAAGTAACACCAGTAATTAGTGGAATACCAGCTTTAAAGAAATTAGCAAACCTCGTGTGACAATTTTTCAGTTGGAGATCCCCTACTGAAATAGGATCAGACTCAAAATTCAATGACTCAAATGAGATATAAATAAAAATATGTGATAGAAAGGAGTAAACTTAAAATCTTATACCAAATCCATCTGTTTTAAGCATTTTAAGAAGCCAGGCGGTGGTGGCACACACCTTTAATCCCAGCACTTGGGAGGCAGAGGCAGGCGGATTTCTGAGTTTGAGGCCAGCCTGGTCTACAGAGTGAGTTCCAGGACAGCCAGGCTACACAGAGAAACCCTGTCTCGAAAAACCAAAAAAAAAAAGAAAAGACTGAAATACTTTAAAAACACTTTCACTACTTTTGTTGAAAAAGGGGAGTGGTAGTAGGATGTACGTACATTTTACTCTACAACATTGCTGTCCAGTAACAATATGTATCCTGTATATGCAATTAAAAAAAATTAGTTTTCAAATTTAGCAATCTAGTTAAATCAATATTTAAAGTCATTATCTAAACAAGTAGTAATAGGTATTTTTAAAAATTGAGGGGGCTTTGTTTTATTTATTTATTTACTTATGTTGTAAGGACCCAGAAAGAGGACCCCAACTCAAGTCCCAATTAGCGCGCACCCAAGGAGACACAAGAGACTTACTTGATGCAATGGCAAAAGGCAGTTTACTAACAAGGGCCCTTGGATCGAAACTCATCCCACGCAGGGGAGAGAATTTCGATGAAGACCCCAGGAAGTTTAGAACTTTTATAGGGGGAGGCACAAGGGGGAAGGGAAAAGTAGGAAATTCAGGCGCGGTTACATATGATTGGATATTTCAAACATCAGCACTTTGCGTAAGCAATCATTTTGACAGGTTGGATGGCCCACTATTTTTGACCATGAAGCCTCAGACCTTCTAGGATAAACACCAGGTGGCCCATTACTCACTTGGGCATGTTTAGACTGGTCAAGATATGTCTTTGGTTGTTTCTACATTTCTGGTCACCTCGTCCCTAGAGGGGCTTGATATTTTTATTATGGCTACTCTCAGTAAGCTCAGCAAGCTGTCCTGCGGTCTTTGCCAAGTTGTTTGTGGTCTCTGCTAGGCTGTTTTAATTTTTACCCTTACAATGTATTTACTTATTTATTTATTTACTTTGGTTTTTGGTAGACTCAGAAGTACGCCTGCCTCTACCTCCCAAGTGCTGGGATTAAAGGCGTGCACCACCACTGCCCAGCTGTTTTATGTTTAACACATTGAGATGAGGTTTTTGTATGTGTGTGTGTTGTGGCCTTAGCTGTCCTGGAATTTACTCTGTAAACCAGACTGGCCTTGAACTTCCCTCTGCCTTTCAAATGCTGGGATTAAAAGTATGCACTTCACCATTTGGCAGAAGATCATACCAGCTGCAATGTATTTGTTCAGAAACTGCCTTTTATTGTTGGTTTCAAATTCTTTATTGTAATTTTTTATATCATGTGTATGTGTTTTGCATGCATATTTATATACATACTATAGAAGGGTATCATAACCCCTAGAACTAGAGTTTTAGAGTGGTAAGCTGTCATTCAGGAACTGAACCTGCAGAAGCAGCATGAGTCTTAACTGCTGTCATCTGTCGCTCCCCGACCCCAGTATCTCCTATTGAACAGTGGAGACCTAGTAATTACAGGAACTAAGGACTAGAAGACCAATAGACACTGATAGTACTGAAGCCCAAGTGTGCAGTCCTGACTGTCAGCCACAGAAAAGGAAGTGGGTGGTGTAGAATAAACAATTTTAAAAAAAAACCCACAGTTTTATACAGGACATGCACTTATTCACTCTTCAGCCTCATCATTTGAAAATAGATAATCCCAGTCATTTTAGTATCTTTGATTTATGGTTATATACATACATTTATGGATTTTTGTTGTTGTTTTTAACTGGAAGTGGTTTTCTGTCTTAAGGGATAGACAACTGAAGACTAGAAAGATAGTATAGTGTTTGAAAGATCTCTTTCTTTAGATGGCTTGTTTATATATAATATAAAAATAAGTATTATTTTTGGTCTAGAAGTATTTTTGCTTTCATCAAATAGCAAATAGCATCAAATAGCATGTACTGCCACACCCTGCTAGAACTTTTAAAGGAAGAAAATAGCAAATATTCTTCACACCTAAACATACTTAAGCGTTTTAGATTTTGCTAGTACTTTTGGCCATGTTTTTGTTGCATTTCACATGTGTTTGTCTCCTGCAGATCTTTCTAGATGAGTTGCACGAGCATGGGCAGCTGCACTCTATGTCCTCTTGGATGGAGCTGTATCCAACCATCAGTTCTGACATTCGATTCACGAATATGCTGGGTCAGCCGGGTGAGACTCTTCTCTTTCCAAACATACCGTAGGAGTGGGAATGGATGTGGGTGGGGGGTGAGAGCACAGCTGTTTGGGGAGGAGAGGTGTGTGCTTTATTTTATGTTTGTTTTACAAACAAAAAGTAATTGCAGCTCTTAGTTAGAGCTAGCTTTTTGACTTCTTTAGTTTTTTCATTAGGATCAACTGCACTTGATCTTTTCAAGTTTTATGTTGAAGATCTTAAAGCACGATATCATGATGAAAAAAAGATAATAAAAGACATTCTGAAGGTAAATGAAGTACTTTTTCTTAACAATTTGAAAACATTGATGCATTCCTTGCAGTTACATGTTATTTATAACAAAAGATTTCTGGCTTTTAGGATAAAGGATTTGTAGTTGAAGTGAACACTACTTTTGAAGATTTTGTGGCAATAATCAGTTCAACCAAAAGATCAACTACTTTGGATGCTGGAAATATCAAGTTGGCTTTCAATAGTGTAAGTTAAATTATTGCAGATAACTACCTAATTATTCATCTAAAATTACTTCAGGTTGTAGGCTAGTGGGATAAGGTACTGTGTAAATGGGATTTATAAGGTAAAGAAAGTAAAACCACAGATTTTTCATTGTTAGAGAGCAAATTAAACTTTTATAAATGATGTGATAATACTTTTAAGAACAGTGACTTGTTTAGAACAGGACTTAGCATAACTTACTAGATTTGATTTTTTGATAGTTACTAGAAAAGGCAGAAGCCCGTGAACGTGAAAGAGAAAAAGAGGAAGCTCGGAAAATGAAACGCAAAGAGTCTGCCTTTAAGAGTATGTTGAAACAGGCTGCCCCTCCAATAGAGCTGGACGCTGTCTGGGAAGATGTATGTATGCTTGTGCTTCACAGTTGAAAATAATACTGATTGTCTCTAGGGGACACAGAGAAGCTAAAATTATTCATAAAACATTCTGTCTATGTCAAAAGTTAGTTGTGGCATTAATTTAGGAGTAGTTTGTCTAAAATAGTTTGAATACACCACCACCAGGGGATAGGGTTTCTCTTTGTAGCAATGGTTATCTGAAGGCCAGGCTACAGAGATCTATTTGCCTCTGCCTCCGGGCATGTACTGCCACACCCTGCTAGAACTTTTAAAGGAAGAAAATTCACTTTTAAGTGAATCACAGGTTTCCCCATAGGTCATATTGCTTTTTAAGACATAAGATATTCTTGATCTTCATATATTTATTCCATATCATTCCTTTCCAGATCCGGGAACGATTTGTAAAGGAACCAGCATTTGAGGATATAACTCTAGAATCTGAAAGAAAAAGAATATTTAAAGATTTCATGCATGTGCTTGAGGTAATTCTTAGTTTGTTGTGACATATAAAGGTGAAACTTTGAAATTAAAATAGTCACTGTTCTGATCCAGGAATGCTTCTTTCTGTAGAATTGTTTCAAATGACAAACAGGTTTGCATGGGCTAGTGAAGCTAATGTTAGAAATTTGCTTTTTGTTTCATAGTTGCAGAAATTCAGCCATTTGTCAGCCTCATACATCAGCCAGTAATTAAGCCTGGGACTATCCTAAAGTTTTCTTGGACAGAAATTTTAAAAAACTAAATAAAAATTAAAAATATATCTGTTCGTTCCAGACATTATACTATATTAGGTATATATTTGATATTAGTATATCAAAAATCGAGAGAGTTTCTGAATTACAGTGGGAAAAATTGGAAGTTTTGCTTAAAATAGCAGGGGGGGAAAATATCAAATAAGTCTGTTGTGGGAATATTTTGACTGGTTTCAGGACAGGCTCTTGTAAATTACCCTGAATTGGCCAGTGATTATTAAATAATCATAGACTGTATGAGCTAATCTATTTATCATTCATAGAGCTTTCGTTATGACTAAATTCTTATAGGAAGTCTCTGATGTTACATATGTGAACTGACAACATGAAGTAAGTCTTATAGGCAGTGGCGTCTAGCCTATATATACATATATATAATTTGCCTATTTATTAGTGCTTTTTTAAAAGTTTAAAGTGAGTGAAGGAAGTGATTGGACAAAGTCCTTGCTCTGCCAGTGTAAGGACAGGAGTTCTTATCCCCCAGCACACATAAATACAGGGAGGATAATCCTATCACTCAAGGAGGTTAGAAATAGAATCTGTGAGTAGTATGGCCAGCTATAATAACAATCTTTCTGGTTTCCAGTGAAACAGACTCTGCCTCAATATCAGGTGGAGAGTAATCAGTATAAACTTACAGATTCCACAAATATGCACAACATTCACCATGGAGTAAATTCTAGACAACTAACAATTTGTAATAAGCTTAAAAACACTACGTGTGTATTGTGTCAGCGTGATAATTAAGCAAGAGTAATATAATATTAGGTATTTCTTTGACGTTTTTGTTCTTGATTAATATCAATGTTAACAAATAGTTTTCTCTGCTACCATGAGCTCATGTGGGCCTCCATATTGATTCTAACTGCCCCTTTGACTGACTCGTCCTTGTTGATCTTTAGTTTTTACTTCTCTGTACCTTAGACTACTAGGATTTGTATTACCTAGGAGCCTCACAGAAGTGTAGAACCTCAGGATCCATCCACAAAAATCTTTTATGAAAACCTTAGTTATTAGACAGAGCTTGGGAGGTCTTACTGAAGATGGAGAGGAAGGATTGAAGGAGCCAGAGAGGTCAAGGATACTGCAAGAAGACCTACAGAATCAACTAACCCGAGCCCAGAGGCTGAATCATCAGACAGAGAGTATGCATAGGATGGGCCTAATCCCTTGGCACATATGTAACAGTTGTGCAGCTAGGTCTTTCTGTGAGATTCCTAAACAACAGGGGCAGGCACTACATCTGACTCGTGCCTACCTTTAGATCCCTTTGCCCTAACTGGGCTGCCTTACCCTGCCAGAATAGGAAAAGATGCGCCCAATTCTACATGATATAGCAAGGCTGGTTGATATCCATGGTAGGCCTCCCCATTTCTGAGAAGAAAGGGGTTGAGAGAGAGAGAGAGAGAGACTAGGAGAGGAGGGAAGGGAAGAATCAATTACAATGTAAAGTAAATTATTAAAAAAAAAAAAAACTTGGTTATACCCGTATTCCATAGTTTTGAATGTGTTTGGGATTTTGAGATTGTATATCCTAAGGAATGTATGACCTACCTTTTTGTAATCAAGAATCTCCAAGCGTTGAAGAGATGGTTCATTGGTTAAAGAGTGTTGTTGTACAAGCATGAAAAACAATCAGTACATATCAGGCATGGGTAGATACAGGGAAATCATGGATGTTTAATGGCTAGCCATCTTAGCCAAAACAAGGAATTTCTCATAGGGGGAAAGGTTCAGAGCTGTAGAAGATATCTTATTTCTTCATCTGGCCTTTGCATGGGTGCACACTCACACACTTCATTCATACACTACTTACACACATACGGAGACTCACCAGCTATGTATTTTTCGTGATTTGAGCTAGAGGTAATGTAGTAAAGTGGTAAATGAATCTAAAGATGGTAATATAGGAGAAGGATGAACAATTCAGATTCTGAAACCCGATTCAGGCACCATTCAGTGAGCTAGAGATGGCTTCATTCTTAGCCAGATTTTCCATTTCTATTTTTTCTACCAAATGTGTGTTATCTAAGCCAGGGGTATAACTGTTAGAATAAGGAGCTTTTACTGCAGTACCTCTCCCTTCCAAGTAGCCTCATGAGTATTTTACAATAGCGTGTGCATATGTGTAAGTCACAGAGTTCATATGGAAGTCAGAAGATAAATCCAGGGATTATTCTCTCCCTCTGCCTTATGGGTGCCAGGAGTAGAACTTGGGTCTTGGCCTTTATATACTGAACTATTTCATAATTGTCTCTGTACTCTATCCACCACCACTACGTGCTACCCACAATAAATGTTTAATAAGTGTTAAGGACACAACCCGTAGTTAAATAAGTATTCCCTGCCTAAATTAGGAGGAAATGCTTCTTGGGATGAAATAAAAAGAAATAGATTGTGTGTATGTTTAAGGATGCCTGTGAGTTTGGTTTTTATCTAAGTGCTTAGCCTAGCTTACTAACCAAACCTAGTCAGGTTAGCCAGCAAAATTATGCCTGAATACAGTTTTTTAATGATTATTGAAAGTTACACCTTTCTAAGACAATATACTTTGCCCTACCAATGCCGTCATTTTGATTAAAAACTATTTCATTAATACTTTGTAAAATTTTTCAGGTATCTAAATAAATACCTAAGTGAATATATATGAATAGCTAATAATAATAAAAAATAATGTTTTATATAATTACTGGGCATCTTATTCTAAACTATCTTGCTTAGGATATTTTTGAAGATATCATGTGTTGAGCTTGTACCATTTTCTTGTTCTTGCCTGTACAAATCAAATGCAGTTCTTAAAGTTTTTCTTTTGCCACTCTAGCATGAATGTCAGCATCATCACTCAAAGAACAAGAAACATTCTAAGAAATCTAAAAAACACCATAGGAAACGCTCCCGCTCTCGATCGGTAAGAAGTGTGTTGGCTGGGATAGTATACCAAAACATTTGTGAACATGATTGTGAATGTATTTGTGTATTGTTTAGGGGTCAGATTCAGATGATGATGACAGCCATTCAAAGAAAAAAAGACAGCGATCAGAGTCCCATTCTGCTTCAGAACATTCTTCTAGTGCTGAGTCTGGTAAGCACTTCTCTTTTCTTGAGTAAACCTTGACACTTTGACTTCCTCATATTCTGACATTATCTTTATGCTCCACAGAGAGAAGTTATAAGAAATCAAAAAAGCATAAGAAGAAAAGCAAAAAGAGGAGACATAAATCTGTAAGAAAGTTTCTAGTTTTTAACAATTCCAAGGCTTTGCTCTAGAAACGATTCTTAGGGCCTTCTCATTATTTAAATCAGTGTGGTCATTTACTTTGGGAACAGAAGCCAGAACTTATAAAGTGTGCTTCACCATAATCTTCCATTAAAATCGCTTGGAACTTCAAACAGAAGATACACAAGTATTAGGATTTCTAACTTGGTCTTTTAAGTTTTAAAAGAGACAAACAAACAGAGAAAATATAAATGGTTGAACAGTTTCTCTTCTAATGCTGTAGATGTCTATTATGTTGACATAGGAGTTTTTCAAAAATGTTAGTGCCTGAGTTTTACCACAGATGTACTGAATTAGATTGGTTGTTTTGGTTTTTCATGCTGTTCCCTAATATTTTTATCTATCTAATCTAGTTATTTAAGCACTAACATTAAATAACTTGTTTCTCGGTGATTTTTCAACCTCGTTCCATGGATTAAATGAGCAGCTTAGTCAGCAGTATCCTTATACAGATCTGAGTAAACCAGAATTACGCTTGATGAAAAATGTGCAAGAACTAAGAGTCAGTAAGGCTCATTAAGGGTGTGTGCTTATCGTGTATGGGGCCCTGGCTTCTAAATAATAAGTAATATTGCTCTATATTTACACAATAGATACAACCTGGTAGTAAGGCTTTTAATGGTGTTTTAACATATCCAGATGTTCTTCCTGTGGGAAACTCCTTCTGTCTCGCTCCCATGAACATTGGAGAAACTCTAGTAAACTCTGGGGCTCAGAGTGGGACATGATGGCACACACCTTTAGTCTTAGCATGTGGGAGGCAGAGACAGGCAGATCTCTTTGAGTCTAAGGCCAGGCTGCTTTCAGAGCAAGTTTCACAACAGCCAGGAATACACAGAGAAACCTTGTCTCAAATCTTAACAACAAAAATCCTGAGATTAACACATTACATTTTACACCTAACCTAATAAATGTGGTATTAAATATTACGTGCATAAATAATTTGTAAGAGAATAGTATGCTTATCAAAATTCTGACATTGGTTTTTCTTTACATAGGACTCTCCAGAATCAGATACTGAACGAGAGAAGGATAAAAAAGATAAAGATCGAGAAAGTGAAAAAGACAGAAGTAGACAGAGATCAGAATCAAAACACAAATCACCTAAGAAAAAGACTGGAAAGGATTCTGTAAGTACTGAAAATTGTTTCTTTCCTGAATTCATAAAAATCAAAAATTGATTTCCTCGTTAAAGCCTTGATGGTGTTTATAGGATATTTTTTTCTTGGTCTGCTAACATTGAAGAAAAGAATAAAATCTTTTCACTGCTTATCACAAAGTAGATTTCCGGTACCATTCATTTTCTGTCTAAATTAGGAGGGAATGCTTCTTTTGATGAAATTAAAAAGAAATAGATTTCTGGTACCATTTCATAAATGACCATCTGGTTGATTCTCTTAAATTTATATTCCTTAAAAAATTTTAATAGCAAATTAACAGTATAAAATCGTCATTTAACTTAGAACGAAAAGATATGTTTGAATTTTACAGTACCATTAAGAAGTAATTGGGCTCTGACTCCTAGATTTTCCAATTAGTGGGGTTTTGTTCTGTTTTTGAGACAGGTTTTCTCTGTGTAGCCTTGGCTGTCTTAGAACTTAGAGATTTGCTTGCCTCTGCATACTGAGTGCTGGGATTAAAAGAGTGTCCTACTGTGCTTAACACCCCTCCTGCCCGCCCCACACACACCTTTTGAATATAAAATTTAGAAGGCTCAAATCAGGGCTTCTCTAGATATCCATAGTTATCACTGTTCATTGTTCATAAATTCAGTTTCAAGAAGTAGCATCCCAGCAACTAGTATAGACTGGTGGAGAGTGGCAGGCACAGGGAAATGGGAAATTTATTTGTATGTTATTATCAAATTACACAGTGCTTAGTTCCTCTTGTACACAACAATGGCAGAACATACAATGGCATCAGCCTTCTTGGTTTTGCCATTGTTGTACAGACTTAGGCTTGTCTGTAAGTCTCTACTTGTAGCAGGATGGTCTGATCCATTGGCATGGTGTTGTCTGTGATTGTTTACTGTTGTTTTCTTGCTGTCTTTGTTTTCTGTTGTTGTTTAAATAATTTTCTACAATGTATTTTGATCATATTCAACTCCCCCTCCCTTTTTTTTATCTTTCTGAATGAGTGATTGACGACCTCCATGAAGAGTGAATCACTCTACTCCTTTCTTCTGTAGCAGTGATTTAAACATCACAGAGGAGGACTCTAACTTTTGAAGTTATAGCTCATAGATAGGCCTTACCTGTTTTTGAGCATATATCAGAGACAATTTAGAGTCTAAATTAAGTCTAAAACTTAAAATTGCTTTACAGTATTACCTAAAATCTGTAAAATTAGCAAAAACCACACAGCATAGGAAGTGGGCGCATGGCTGCCATTAGGTAGGAACAATTCATATTTAATTGTGTAAAACAAAAACAGTATGTATCATTTTCCTTGTTTACATATTTTAATATAAACTGAGGTAGCTCTATATAAAATCCGTATCCCGTATCTTAGCTTTTTTCTCCCCCTCTAATGACATTCAAGGACTGTTTAATAACCAACTGCTACGCTTTAAAACTGCAAGGTTTTAAAACACTGTGAAATGTGTTCGTGTGACTAAAACTCCGTATCTACTTTAGAATCTTTTTTATAGTTTCACCTTTTCTTAACATTTTCAGGATTAACTTTAATTGTAATTACGTTGAATGTCTTTGCAGGGTAACTGGGATACTTCTGGCAGTGAACTGAGTGAAGGGGAATTAGAAAAGCGCAGAAGAACCCTTTTGGAGCAACTGGATGATGATCAATAAATTATACCAAATATATGTTTATAGTATGATTTAAAGTCTAATTCAGACCAGGGATTATTTTAAGTCCAATTTACATAACACTGGGTTTTAATTGTGTCACAGGAAAAAAAAGTGCATTTTATGTATTGTTACTGTGGACTTTATAAAAGCAAAGGAAATTGAAAATAACTTGATTCTGTATCAAGAATCATATTTTCCTATGGTAAGAACTGTCTTTCTGTGACCCTTTCATAGGGCACTACAGGATGGATTAAAAGTGGCAATTTCATGATAGCTGCAGATGTCTCTACTTTGTTCTAAGTCATGAGGTGATTTGATTTCCTTTATAGAAGTTGGATTTGAAGATGCAATGAAAATTTTCTGATAATGTAGTACAAAAAAAGCACCAGCAACCTATGATAAGACTGCTTTTTTGTGCACTACTGAACTGGTTAAGCCAACGTGATCTTCTGTGTTGAGCTCTTAAGAAATAGGTGTCTTTGATGGAAACTTGGTAGACCTTTCACAGCAGTGGTGCTAATGAGCACTGCTGTAATAAAGCCACCATTATTTTTTATGAAACATCTGAACATTTTCAAAAGGCTTACGAGGGCATTATTTTGAGCATCTATTTTGAGGTGATGTTTTAAAATAGCTAACATCAAGTCAAATTGTAAATTAGTTTTAAATATATTGCCTTAAGGACCTACTAAAGAATGTGCCACCAAACTTTTGGGTAATAGTTGAAATTTCCTTGTCGGGGGCGGGAAATCAATGTTGACTTAAACATTTTAATTTTTAATCCAACCTTTCTCTTTCACTTTTTTTTTTTTAATTCCATTGAGAAGGTTGTAAATTACCTTCCTTACTCACTGAGAAGTATTGACTTCATGGTACACATTCTAAAGCATTTCTGATTTCAATATTTTTGTACATTTTTATCTATTATTAAACCTTCTCTTGTAGTGTGCACTAGTGTTTATTTCTACATAGGCTGCTCAGCTCTAAGGAAATTGTATGATCATTTTCAAGATAATAAATCCCTGAAATTTTGTTTCATCCTACCCATGGTAGCTACATTACTCCTAAAAATCAGTGTACATGAAGTTCTTAAATGTGTTTTCACCTATAAATTTCCTATGGAACATTTTAGAAAGGCAGTGGCTTAAAATTACAATACTCTTTACATGCTAACTTTTGAGGGTTAGTAATGTGATTTATACTATTCCCTTCAGTGCAGGTTTTTGTTTCTTAAGTAAAGCTTAACAGTTGGTCTTTAGTATTCTCTTTGCTCTTTTAATTTGGACATGCTGAGATTATCTCTTTCAAGTTGAGATTTAAATAGAATATAAATTACTTCATTGCCCTTTAAATGAGTTAGGACAGATCAATACAGCCCTTTTTCTATCCTGCCCAGTGGTTTGATTAAATATAATGGCCATTGTTTAAAAACTCAAAAAGGGAGATACTTTGTTTCTAAACTTCTCATTGTCATGTCATTTTCTGTTGAGAAATAAGACACACTTTGTGGAAAATATCATTATCTTCAAGAAAACGAAATTGCTTGCTTTAGTATCCCCCCCCCCCCATTGTATGTTACTCAAAATGCCAAACAACTGGCAACAGAATTTCCTTGAATTTAATTTTCAGAGGTCCTCATTTAACAATGGTCAAGATTGCTAATCAGTCCCAGTACTTGACATGGAGGTCAGAGATAGTCTTTAAATCATGCTTATGATTTTGGGAAACAAACCAGTAATGTTTCATAAGAGAAATTAGAATCTGTAAAATATGTTTTAATTCCATGAATAATGGTTTTTAAAGTACAACATTAAATTTTTGATATATTTGAATAAAAAGCTATTGATGTTTTAGCATGTCCTCAAAATAGATTTCTGTGCTTCTTATAATTTGTTCACATCTTCAGATTCTTATAAAACATGATCAACTAAAATATCCCTGCAGTAAACCTATGCAAATCAGACACAACAAAAGACATAAACTGATTTTCTTGTTTAAACAGCTTTTTTGTTTCTGTTTCTTTTTGTTTTTTTGGAGATAGGGCTTCTCTGTGTAGCAGCAGCTGTCTTGGAACTCTGTAGGCCAGCAGGCTTCAGACTCAGAGATCCCCCTGCCTCTGCCTCCCTTCTTGTAAATGTTACTGTGAACAGATCAATATAACAGAACCCTATTGATTTAAATAGAAGTTTTATATCAGTGTGTTGAATTTTGACTTTAGGTACCTGAAAATGTAATATCCTTGCTATAAAACATGTAAATCAAGTCTACTCCATTGTCTTGTTTTGATTATACCATCAGACACACTGTAGTTGTTAGAGTTAGTGTGAAGGCACAGGTGATGGGGCAGTCCTAAATCTCTGGATCTTTTAAATCCAGTAAATCATGTTTCTAAATCTTCAGTTTGCCAAAGGCTGATGTATCTTTGAATGCTTGTTTCTTCTATAGTTACTCAAATAGCCAAGCAATTAATATAAGTTTATATATTTCAGTTAAGACTAGGAGTCTAATGCTGAAACCATATTGTCCTCAGCATCACTAATATTTATCAGACTTGCTAATGTATTTAATATTAATCAGGCAAAATCATGACCTCAGATACTTGATGTTCTTATTTTCTTTTATCACTTTCATGTTGAGAAAATTTGTAAGAGAAGTTAGTATGGCCAATTTAGCATACGGATTATTTACCATCTTCTCAAATGAATTTAATGTGACAGGAGGATAGATTTTTGGTTTCAACTTGTAAAACTTCATCTTTTGGATTTTTCTTAAGTGGGCTTGGTGTATAGCTATAAAATAAAAGAATGTACCTGGAGAAGGCAATTTTTATAGAGTAATAATAGTAACTAAAAAGTCTATGCGTTTTCCTGTAAACTGTGTAGTTTGAGGCTGTAGTGCACTGCTTTCATTCATTTATATGCTTTACTAAGCATTTGCTGAATGCTACTGGTTTTATTCCAGTGTTTAAAGTTGACTAAGTGTTCAGTAGACATTTGCTTCCAGAAGAGTAAAAATTAGATTTACGTATTCTAATCAGATAATACCTAGGGAAGAGTTATAGAGAATGCTTTATGTTTATAGAATTTGAACATAAAATGATGTAAACTTAAATATGGATTTGTAAAGTTTTTGAGACAATCTAATAGACATGAAAACAAACTAGATTAACTTATAGTTTCCGTTGGAGAAATTTTTAATTTAACCCACCTTTCTCCTCTAGGCTAAATACACTTACTAAAAAGGAAAAGAAAAATGATGCTGTGATTTTTTTTTTTTCATGGAACTACAAGAGGCTTATGTTTTCATTTTATGTTTCTTCTATGACATGCCACTCTTACAGCTCATCGTTCTCCCATGTGTCTAAGTCCTCTGTTTAGTCTGATGACATTGGCAAGGCAGTCTTTCAAAGTCTTAGGGTTGGATTTATCTGTTTCATTCACTACCATGAGTGAATGTGTGAGTGTGTGTGTTGTATATACATACATCTTGAGTAGAATTCTGACTGCACTTAACAGATGTAGAATATCATTTGACATATGTAGTCATATGTATCCCATCATCCACACTAAAGGGCTTAAAGAGGCATAATTGCAATTAAACCATACCACTGAGAACTGGTGCCTCCGTGTAAAGTACACTTATTTTAAAGGGATGAGTCATGGTAAAACTAGCACTCCAAAGTGAGAATGAAAGATGACCTACACTTTGTTTAGCTGTCCTCCATTTTTGATTGTTTTCTGCTGGTTTAAGTTCGTTAGTAAGTAAGACACTATTCCTAAACCTGCTGTACTCAACAGCTGCATGTGAGAATGAGCAGATTCTAATTCAAGACCATCCCATGGAATTAATCTTTGACAGTGATTACCCTAGTGTAATGTTTACATTTCAGAGAGGCAGGCTAGCCCATAACCCTGCTCTTGAGTCTAGGCTATGGAGCAGGTCACATACAAGCTAAGCCATTTTTTGATACTATGCTGTGACCGTTACTAGATTATGTCCTTGTTACTGATAAACTTTTTGTTTGTTTTTTGGCCCTGACTACTAACATTTTGGGTAGGTGTTAAGTCTTCTTGCCTTCTTCTACAACTGAACAGGATTTGTTCAAAAAGGTGAGTAATTGGGAAAAGGTTTATCCTTTCTGTGTAATCACTAGGTTTTTATTTGTTTTTATATTTGCGTGATGTATGAACCTCATAGATACAACAGACCTTTTGTAAATAGAGAAATGGCATATTTATTAAATAAGTTGGGTTTGTGTCACCGTTTTTCTTAAGACTCTGCCCTCTACCCTAAGTTCTCTGTTGTGACTCGAAGTGCCCGTGACCCTGCTTCTCAGTGTAGTACCCACTTTGTTTAAAAAGTTAGACCTTAATCCACCCCCTCAAAATCAGAACAACCTCAGACTTGTTCTTTCTTCGATTCTTTCCATGAAAAATACTAGAAACTTTAATATTCTTATTAAATAGGCTTAGTATAAACGTATTCATCTGCCTTTGTAAAGTTAAGTAATTCTGCAGAAAAAGTGTACGTTGAACAGAAAAGTAGTGTCCGTGATCTGGATTCTCAGGAGTAACATATGCAAGGGCCTGGATTGGATCCCCAACTAAACTACTCTTAATAAAAATCTCTAAAATTAACCAAATCTTCCTTTGAGCTTTACTGCTATAGTTAACAGTCTTAACATGTTCTAAATGTGTAATGCCTTGAGACATTTCAAATAGGACAAAAGACCAGGTAGGCGCGTTTGACCACAACTTGTGGGAGACTGGGCAGGAGAGGAGGGCCTTGTGTCCTTGGCTTGGGTGTACAACTTTTTCTTCTAAGTTATAAGCATATAAGCATACTTTTGGAGTCTAAGCTCAAACAACAAGCTATGTGTGAGTCTATATAAAACGAAAACAGCATAAAATATACAAAGGATTAGAACATATGACAGAATAGTAGTGTAAATAGTTTATTTGCTCAAATGGCATGAAAAGTCCAGGAAAGTAACATGAATTGCTTTTATAAAACATTTCTAATATTGCTAAGAAGCAGGGCCATTAATAGACAGACAGAAGAATATGCCAACATTATTGTCCATTTGTACACTGGGAAATAGGCAGTTTGCTTCAAGCAAATGCACACCTTTGGAAAACAGCTGATTTGTGTGAAAAAGGTCCAGATATTTGTTTGATATAATGATCAAATTAGTATACTTACCAAGATGAATATTGACTCAACAAGACAACAATCTTGGCATGTTCTTTTTAAGCTACACATTTATGAATGTGACAGCAAGTGGCAGTTTAAAAGGGATCTGTAAATAGCCATACTACTGTGAAATGTGGTAACTGACTTAAACTGTCCTTGTAGTTAAATATATATATATACATATATATATGTATATGTATATATTTAAAAAAGAAACTATAAGTTAAAGTAACATTCATTCAGATTGTGTAGCATAGGCTGATGCATTTTTAAAACAATATTTACAGTATTATCTAGAGGCTTAGGTAGGAATTAAAGAGAAGTGTAAAAACCATAAAAAACTGCACCAATCTTATAGCAAAATATCTGTACATTTTAAAGATCATATAACTACACATCCATGAAAAAGGGGACCTTCACCAAGGGGTTCACATGAACACAAATTTGGTGGTTAAATACTATACAATAATTTTTACATTAATATACTGATGTACCAACAAGGTAAGCCAGAAGAAGCAGAATATGTATTATGAAAAGTACAAATTTAGCTTCAGTCCAGTCTTTGACTTTGGAATGGATCGAAATGCCTTGCCAGTGAGGAAGGTAAGTGACTTAATAAACCAGTTAACCCTATCACATAATTTAAACTCAATCTCAGTGTTAATTGAATTGGAATTTCCCATAAGTGAGAAATACGCAAAGCAATTCACCCCTGATAACTTAATGTCAGCTGTATCAGTATAGTTTACAAAGGAAAAAAAAAAAAACAGGAAAAAAAAAAAAGAAACAGGACCCTTCGATTGTCAGAAGAGAATAAGGCCAGGTTCCCAACATTACACTAACACTTGTAATTTTGAATGCTTACTGATAGAGCTTGTGGTAAAATCTCCCTGACTAACAAGGCACCATTTTCTATTTTAAGGATTCACCCATAATGGGCCTCAAAAATCAGAATACTGAGACATTATTAATTTTAGTGGTAATGAATAAACATTTGCATTATTAAAAGCTGCCTCTAGCTTAAGAACATAGTAGTTCTGCAAATAAGACTTCAATGTTTTATGCCATCTTGCAGTCATACAATTGAATGCCTTTGTGCATGGCACCCTTACACAGAAACAACATGAAATAGGATAGAATTGAATGACTTGGAGTGCCACTGCAGTTGCATCCTGTTTGTACTTTGCTGGGACTTGTGTGCCAGCTTCCATCTCCCCTATTTCCAGTCCCTTGTTAGAAGTTGGTGAATATGGCTCGAACACACAATTTCTTAGAAGACCTCTCAGCAAAGGATGCCCATAGCATACACATCCCTGTTATTTACAGATTACCAGGAAACCAGGCTGGGCCATATGGGACAATCACAATGGCAAATAATGAATTTTATATGAAATTTACATTTTGGTTAAAAAACTGAGTAACATACTGATGTAAAAAGATTTAAGTCAAATCCTATTGCTTTGATTAATCTGAGCAAGTTACTTCCAATTTTAGGCACTTGTTAACAGGGGTTAAAAGGAGAACCCATCATTTTTAAATTCCTATGTGTTTGCTAAATCTGAGCCCTTGAGAGTATTTGATCTGTATTGAAGGCTGGAATGGCAGTTTCATGGATACCCTCTCATGAAGGGAGTCTCGGGTCACATTGTTATTTCGGCACCATTAACAGAACGCAAGTTCTGATCATCGAAGCGCCGCCTCACACTTCGTCTCACCGCATCGGCTCGTCTATAGGGTTGGTTTCTAAGATCTGCAAAGAGGAAAATGCCAATGAAAGGACAGCAAACAGGCACATCTTAGCAAGATAGTTGGCAGCCAGTCAAAGCAGCTTGTGTAAAGTCAACTAACGGGCCCTTCAAACCCATTGAGCATTCAACCAAAAGTGTATTCTTCCTTCAGCATTTACAATTAAAATAAGATGTAATACTGGTAGGATTCTGAGACATAGATTATTTCTATCATTGTTAGTAGCTTGGCTAGTTGAAATATTTTTAAATGTTTCTCCAATTAGAAGCAACTGTGCTCAGTCTTCAGACTGCAAAATTCACAAACTGTCTTGTCTTCGTAGTTTTAA